TAGGGTTGAGGGTTTCGGGTTCTCTGGAGCCCTACAGTATAAGCCCCCCCCCCCCTAAACCACTAAAACCGAAAACCCCAAAGCCCCAGAAGCCCAGAAGCCAGGTTGTCAAGCAACACAACAACATCGATAGTATTTGGCTGATGTAAGAGCGACAAGCCTCTAGCAAAAAAGGAGGAAGGATACTACCGGACCAAACCCCCACCCTTAAGCTTAAACCCTAAACCTGAAACACTGATTAAACCTGAACCCCAAAAGCCCAACATCTTCAAACCTAAGCCCTAGTCCCGCAAAGCTCAAGCCAGTAAACCCTAAACCCCTCTAAAGCCCAAACCCCTCTAAACCCTAAACCCCCCTAAACCCCCCTAAACCCCCCTAAACCCCCCTAAACCCTCTAAAGCCCCCTAAACCCCTCTAAACCCTAACCCCTAACCCCACAAGCCGTGGAAAGCGGCATGAATGCGGCGCTGCACCAGACCATCCTCGGTAAGGCACTGCGGCTCAAAGGTTTTGTTTCGAAGAGGGGAGGGGCTTAGGGAGGGTTTCGGGTTTAGAGGGGTTTAGGGTTGAGGATAAGAGGTTTTAGGGTTGGGGGGCGGCGGGGGGGGGGTCAGGGGCTGAGGATTTGCTGCAGGGATTGGGTTTAGGGTGGAAGGTTTTAGGCCTTTCGGGGATGGGGTCTAGACATTAGGGGTTTAGGGTTTCGGGGTTTAGGGGTTCGGGGAGGATGCGGGGGCCAAAGGAAGGACCCTTACAAGCGAGCCTCCAGGAGCTGTATAGGGACCATAGAGGATACACAATAAAAGCTTTCAGCGATCAGGGGTTTTATCGGGTAGCAGTCCCTTCTAGTGCCCCTTCTACACTGTCCCTCTACTGTCCCGCCAAGTGTCTCCTTTATAGGAGATGATCTTACTGCAGCATCTACCGCCGTGGGGCCAGGAATTGAAGTCTTAGGGTCTTCCGCCCCAAGCCCTGAAACGCCTACCCCCCCCCCCCCCCCCCACCCAATTAAAAGAAAAGAAACGAAAAGAAAATAGCTTTGGGCTTAAGGCTTAGGGGTTTGGAAATATGCAAACCCGAAATTGTGTCTGCTGCGGCCCGGCGGCAGCAGCCAGGTGGCGGTGAGTGCCTGGCAGCTTGAGGCTTAAGGGTTCAGGCTTTAGGGTTTAAGGGTTTTAGTGCTTAGGTTGAGGAGTTGACAACATGCAAAGGGGTTTCACAAGGGAACCTATTCCCGAAGGAAAGGGAACACAGGCCCGGAGTCCAAGGAGTTGTAACCTTCTTGAGAAAGATGGCATCTTCAAGTGGATGGTCGAGGACATCCTTGAGGCAAGGGTGCCGCCACTGGCTTCTTGAACCAAACTCCTAAGAAAGTGCGGTCCTGTAAACCCATGGGCCTTTCAGATTCAACCCCGCCCCCCCGACCCCCTCCCAAACCCTAAACCCTAAGCCCTAAACCCTAAACCCGAAACCCGAAACCCGAAACCCTAAACCCTAAACCCTAAACCCTAAACCCTAAACCCTAACCCTAAACCCTCAACTCTAAACCCAAAACCCTAAACTCTCCAGACATCCCTCAGACCATGAACCCCCCGAAGCCGTGAAACCCCTGAAGCTCTCCAACAAAAACCAGCCTCCGGAGAGAACTCCAGCTGCTTGCGGAAGATGGACTCGTTGTAGTACCTATTTTTCGGGTTCAGGGTTTTAGGGTTTTAGGATTTTAGGGTTTTAGGGTTCAGGGTGTAGGGTTTTGGGTAGGCTTTTCGGGGTTTAAGGTGTAGGGTTTACCCACGGTTTGGGATGATGGACTCATTGTGGGGTGTCGGGTCTGGGGTTACTTTGGGAAGCCCGTTGTTGACTAGCATCCTAAATCGCCCTTGGGGCCGAACTTTGGGGCCGAAGTGTAAACCCCGAACCCCGAGCATAAGAGTCTGAGGCCCTAGCACCCAAAAACTTTGAACCCCTCAAGCCCTTGAATCCTTAAACCCTTAAACCCGTGCACCTTTACACGCTTGATTGTGGGCCGTGTGGCCAGGCCAGGGTCAAGGCCGTGGGGAAGAAGACGTAGGACGTGAGGCAGGCGAGCACATGGATCCTTTGGGTGACAGAGGGGAGAGGAGGGGGCTTAAAGAGGCTCAGCCCTGCGGTAAGAACCCAAAATCCCGACACAAAGCCTACGCCCCAAGTCGACTTCAGCCTAAACCCGAAACCCGAAACCCGAAACCCTAAGCCCCACATCGACTTCACCGTAAGCCAAGCTCTAAACCCTAAACCCCAAAATGGGCTTAACCCGAAGGTCTGAATCATGCGGAGTTCGGGAGCAAGGGTTTGGGGTTTCGGGGCTTGGGGTTTAGGCTTGAGGCACGTCTGCATAGGGTTTCGGCAGTTGAAATTCGGGGTCTGGGGTTTGACGTACGAAGTATGCACTAGAACCGTTCCTGAAATAGGGGGCCCCAATTTCGGACCCCTCCTTCCCCCCCCCCCCCAGCCATAGCGTCTTTCGGAATCACAGTAGCCAGGCGTCTTGATGGGATCGCTGAGGCCCACAATGCCAGTTTTGTGATGCTTCATGAGAATGAGCGCTGCGAACCACAGCAGACCTCGCAGCACAGACCGGGTTCTAAGGTTTGAAGTGGCTGAAAGGACTGAACCCTACAACCCTAAAACCTGATTCCCACCCCCCACACAAAACCTCAAGCCCATACCCCCCTCCCCCCCCGCCCCCGCCCGCAAAGAGCTCCGAACGCCAGAACAAGTGCAAACGAGAGCAACCTAAACTTGTCAACACTCGACCAACCTTTGAAAGCTCCCAACAGGGACTTCGAGAAAAAAGCTAACCCTAGGCCCGAAACCCTAAAAAGCCCTAAAAACCCTAAACTCAAAAAACCTAAACCCTAAAAGCCCTAATCTAAAAACCCTAAACCCCAAACCCTAAACCCTAAAAACCCTAACTAAGTTCAAGGAACAAAGGAGGAAGGTCAGCTTGATCCCGCCGGGCAGGGAAGCGCCATCCGACGAGCTGGCCTGTGGGGTTTAAGGGTTAGGGTACTTCAAGGCCCAGATACTCCCTAGTTGGGTACATGGACCCTTTAGGGTATAAGCCCTGAACCCTATCTGAAGTATCTGTGCTAGGTTTTGCTCTTTCCCCTCGGAATGAGACGCTTCCACCTTTTTTGCTTACTGCGGTTTACGAGGGAGCCCACTCCCGCCCTCTCCGACAAAAAGGGAAAGGGGCAGTACTCGACATCCTGAGCATGGGGAAGAGGGTCTGGGGTTTAGGGTTTACCCAAAACATGTACCAAAGCTAGGACATAGGATTCTTATAGTAAACGGCTTCTCAGGCGGCGTTGCCGGGCATCGGAGGTTGAGTCAGGAAGTTTTTGTTCGTGTAGTTGTAGAAAGGCCTTTCAGGGTGTGGAGGGGTTTAGGTTTAGGAATTTAGGGGTTCAGGGTTAACTCCAGAGGTTGAAGATGTTTTGGAGTAGAGTTTGTCAGCGTTTGAAGCCAACAGCGAGGAACCACTTCGCCGATGTTTTTGTGCTGCTTTCTTGGCTCGTTGGCTCGTGACGGCCAGGCACGCTCCTACGTGCACTCTACAAGACTCCATCTTGCCTCAGTGCCCATGCACTGGTGTGCGGAGATGTTCAGTGAATTAGGCCCCGAGCCTTAGTTGTTCAATGCACAAACCCGAAGCCCTAAACCCGATAAACGCCGATCCTAGACTCCCCTGTAAACACTCTTAACAACCCAGGACCCAGAGCTATAAAATTTCCTTCACTTCACGTAAGCCCTCAACACCCTACCCTGACTAAACCCCTAGCCCTAGACCCTGTAAAGCCTACACCCCAAACCCTCAACTAACCCTGGCCCTAGACCCTGAAGCCTTCCGCCCACCCCAGGCAGCTACGCCTTCATCTTCAGCAACCTGCCGCAAGGCTCCCCAGCCCTCAACCCCATTAGCCCTGTGAACCCTATAAACCCTATAAGCCTTTCGATCCCTCTGAACCCTATGAAACCTATCAAGCCTATAAACCCTATGAACCTTACGAAACTCTATGAAACCAGCGAAACCTACGAAACCTCCCTATGAACCCTAAGCCCTAGAGACCTAAAGCCGAAGTCCGAGGACCCAGACTCCAACAAAGTAACAAAGGCGCAGGGGGGTCGAGATATCGAGGCCGCCGGCATGCAAAGTCCAGACTCTGGGTTTGGGGTTTAATTAGGGTTTAGAGTTTAGGGTTTAGGGGCTTGCATTTAGGGATGGAGCTGGGAGGTTTGGAGAGTTGAAAGGGGTTGTTTAAGTGTGGGCCTCATGTCATGGGGCTTCGAGAGCTTAGGGCTTCGCGTTCTCTTTTTGGGGTTAGGGGTTAGGGGTTTTGGGTTTAGAAGGGTTGGGAGGGGCTTACAGTCCAGGAGTTTCGAGCTTCGGGATCTTGCGGTTTATCCGCTGGGGGTTGGGTGAGGGTCAAGCTTAAGGGGTTTACGGTCAAGGGTTCGGGAGCCTACTGGACTTTGCACGGCGCATAAGCATGCAATGGTTCTGAAACTGCTGCCGCATTGCACATGTTTCTTAGGGCCGCTTTCGGCATATGCAAAAGGCATCGAAAGATTGCTCATCCCGCGCAGTCGGGAGTTTAGGGCATAGGCTTTCGGCTCTTACGGGCCACGCTTCAAAATGCAGGTTTTGGGGCTTAGGAGCCCGAATCCCCGAATGTGGGGAGGAGCAACAGACAAGAACAAAAGTGCCACAAAATCGCTGGGCTCAAAAGCGCGCCAGTAATCAAGAGAGGTGTGTTGGCTCGCCGGCACGCAGGACCTTCGTCCACCTGGCCCCTGGATCTTGTATGCAAATACCTCTCGGGTCTTCTGCAAGAACGTCCAAAAGTGCTAAGGAAGAGGGTGATGGTACAGGTTGACTTAGGGGGGCCTGGGGCGTGCCATGCTGCCCACGTACTTGAAATCGTTGACAAAGGATGGCTTTTTTTTCAAGAAAAGCTGATCTACTCCCACTCAATGGTAGCCGGAGGCTTGGAAGAGACGTCGTAGCACACTCTGTTGATACCCTTCACCTCGGCACGGGGCAGTGGTTCTGGAGCCTCATCTTACAAAACGTGCCCGTACAGCTGCCCCTCGCACTGAAGTTCAGAACCCCGGAGCCTAGTCTTGCTCAAGTAGGAGCCTTTGTATCATGTATCCTGTGTTAGGGCCGTTAGGGTTTAGGGGTTTAGGGTTCGGGGTGTCGAGTTCGGGTTTAGGGTGCAGGGTCTCTGGCCTGGCCTCGTTGATGATCCGATTCGAGATGCGAGCCAGGACATCCTGGGCAGAGTGTATACAAAGGCGAATTCAGCCACCCCCTAACCCCGAAAAGAAGGGCCTTTTCACAGTCATATACTAGTCCTGATAGCCATATGGGCCACATGATAGTCATGCGGTCCATTTGGGAGGTTAAGGTAACCATCAAATAGGTCTTTGTTAGTTCAGGGCCTGCCGCAAAGGAAGGCCCAAAGGTGAGAGGATTTGAGGCCGCAGGGTTTTAACGCTAAACAGCTAGATTAAAGGCCCGAAGCCCTACACCCTAACCACAAACTCTTTAAGCGCTTTTGGGATATAGGGATTCAGGGTTTTAGAGTTAGTGGTAGGGTCTAAGGCATAGCTTAGGGCTGATTGTTTTGGACTGAGGGTGCAGGGACTTCGGGTTTAGCATGGTCTAGGGCATACAACGGTTTATGGGGTTCAGGGGTTTCGGAGTTTTGGCACCCAACTCTGCTACTGGCTTGGGGTGCCAAACCTACATCAGACCGGCCTCAGCTGGGGACGAGCCAACGGATGCACAAATACTTGCTCATGTTTCCGTCGAGAAGACATTCGACCCTAACCCTAAAACCTAAATCCTAAACCCTAATACCCTAAATCCTAAACCGCAGGCAAGCCGCGTGAGGCATGTCGTACCAATCTGCGGTCATGAAGTCGGTGGTGGTCACGGCGCGGAGGATGCACACATTCCTGGGACTGCACATCTTCTGAACTCCGATGATGCCCCACCTACACATGATTTAAAATCGCATGCAAGAGTCTATGCTAAAGCTGTGGAGCAATGAAACCAGGCGAGAGCACCATGAAATCCACCCACAAGAGCCGCCAGCCCGAAACTAAACCCCAATGGCCCGCGGCCAAGCCATGCCTAAATCCTCCTGCACCCGATTGAAGGTTCATACAACTTCACACCTGGAAACCACAAACCCTAATCCCGAAAATCCTACAAGCTGGAAACAGAACTCGATAGCTTGCAACTGAGAACATACATTCCCGAAATCCTAATCGTACCTCTAAACGCCCAGAGCCCGACACTCAAAACCTCGGGCCGCAAATCGAAAAGCCTATGTCCCAAACCTCGAAAATCTTCAGTCTCTAAAAGGCTCAAACTGCCTACGCTAATAGTAGAGGCCCTAAACCCAGCCCGGGGGGCTCGTACGTCCGGTGGTCGCCCATGACCCCTACGGAGCGCACGGTGGGCAGCAGCACGGCAAAGGCCTCTCCGATGGTTTCGATTCTTACCTTAAGACCCCAAAACCTGCTTTTTTGTATGTGACCCAAGGAATCCTATAAGGGGCTTTGTAGCAATAACCTACCAAAAAAGGTTCGATTTGGGTTCCTCAGGTAAGGTTTCGGGCTCAGGATCTTAAGGTTTGGGGGGTAAGGGTTTGGGTCAGGGTTTGGGGTGCGAGCTTCAGGGCTGAAGGATTAGGGTCTGTGGCTGTCCGCAATAAACCCCAGTGCTCGCCTGCCCGATCTTGTCGTAGTGCCCAGTCTTTCGGAGCTCCTCAATGTAGATGTCATCCTCGGGGACGGGTGCTGAACGAACTCTCGGGTCGAGGTTTGGAAATGAGAGGTTGAATCTTGCTCAGGGGATGAGTAAGGTGCCTAGGGAGTGCGGCTCCAGGCCCTGATGTGGGAGTAAACTGGAATATGGCCTGACTCACAGGGTGCCGGAGTCTCTTGGTTTAGCCTGCTTTGCAATAGCGTGCCTAAAACAGATGAGCAGGAAACACCCCCAAGCACTGCCCTTGAGCATGCTGAGACCATTTCACAGGGCCTGAGAACTCCAAAGCATCGAACCGCACTGCCTACCCTTGAAACCCCAAAGCCTCTACGCCCTCGTCCTATCCCCTATCCGCAAACGAGACTTCGAAGAACACACCCCAGTGACCACAAGCAAATGCTGGTCTAGAGTCGGCGTGGGACAAGCGATCTGCTGTCTCCTTCGGCTCAAGTTTGAACAGCGTGGAGAGCTTTTATTCTTGCAGGGCAAATTCGTTAGTAAGATTGGCGTGGCACTTTGGGGCTCGAAAAAAAGAGAGTGAACGCCTGCTGGTGTATCTTGTCTGGGCCAAGTTGTCCGATCTGTTCGGCGTATTCTTGGGATGCGCGTTGCGGTGCCAGCCGAAGTATTACCGTCGAACTTAGGTTTCCAGAAAAACCCATGAGCACACATCATGTTTTCGTACGGTAAGCTTTGGCAAGTCCTGGGGCTGAAAAAGGTCTTTGGCCCTGTGTTTAATAGTGATTAGGTTTGAGTGGAACGCCCGAGACCCAAGCAAGATAAGATTGTTCCTTCAAGTATCGGACAGGAAGCGGCCGCTTTTCGTTCTGCATTACACAGGCTCACTGACACTGCGATCCGGCATTAACACCAAGCACCGATGCACCACTCGTGTACTGCCAATGGAAATGGCCACAAGAATAAAACGAAAATGCCACGCCCCGAAACCTGCAACATACAAGAGCGGCAGGGGAAAAACTCATAAGGTGCATCAACGTAACATCAGCTGTCTTACCATGGTGGAATGTGAAGCCCCTGTCCATGACGCTTACAATGCAGTGCATTGGCTTGGGGCGTACTACAATTATGCCCTCCCACCCCTTCGCGCCGCACACGCTCGCCAAAGGCCAAACGGATGTGACGGACTGCACATCCATTTTCGTTTTCACTTGCCAGGAACGGCTCCTTGCGCCAGCAACTGCCTGATGTCATGCTGTAGTGCCCCATAAACGCTCACTGCATTCAGATGCTCGTGCCGGCTCCTCAGTGCATCAACCTCGTCCAATAGCTCTTTGGACTTCTCAAACTGTCCCCTCACCAGCCGATTTCTGGCTGACCGCCGCAATGAAGCTATCACCTGAGATCGCTGCATGCCTTCTTCTGTCAACCTTCGGTACTTGCTCTGGTTTCCAGAAAGCTTGGCGATACTCTGTCGAATATCCTGGTAATACATATTGCCAACACTCAACGCAAGCAATGCTCTTGCTCGTTTGATAGACAAGCCATTGTTCAACAACCGCCTGAGTATGAGTCGAACATCCTTCTGCCGGTCAATGAACAGCTCAAAGTATCCATCAGACCGATGGTGCAGGGAACCTGACGAGTTAACATCAAGCTGCCAGAATGCGGCAATCCAATGCAGCACCATGGCCGTTTTTTGTGTGAGCGTCAAACGCATGTAGCGTGGAGGGCGGGCAGAAATGCATCCTTCAGCGTCAAAGAACCCAGCCACAAACGGCCAGGAACACTTGAGTGCGGGAAAGTCGTCCTGCGCCTGCGCCTGCGCCCTCGCTGACGACAACTCCTGCTTCAGGCTTGCTTTCCTTGCCGCCGCATCATGCGGCTGATCAGCTGCCAGAAGCAACTGGTGCCTTTTGACGAAGCTTCTTTGGGCAAGCTGCACAGCTGCCATTTGCACATCTTTTCTCTTTGTCAGACACCACGCTAGTTGCGGGCGTTTCAACCCTTTCCCACTTTGACTCAGATACACCTTGCCTGCAAAAACCTGTGCGAACAGAAGCAGGACCTCTGGATGGGAAGACGACTGCGTAACGCTCAGGATATATGCTCCTGGCTTAGAACTGACGCAGCCATCGCCGTCAAAGAACCCAGCAAGATAGGCCAGGACACTCTCCGGGGCATTGTCCCTTGCAGGTTTCGTAGGAGGAGCAAACGGCAATGAATATGTCTCACCATGCACTTTAATCTTTTCAAGCCGCGGCCAGAGCAGCTTGGCCTGAAAAGACTTCAGTGCGGCGATTCGGCGCCGCAAGGATGCCAGGGGCTTGCCATGCATGCCACGCGTAGTCGAGGGTGAGGGATTCGAAGGAACAGCAAGGGTCTGCGTGTGCGGTTCAAGCAACTTAAGCAGCTTGAACTCATATGGCAGTTCACGAGCCAAGCACTGACCGACCCCGTCCTAATTCAACTATAAGCCTAATCCTTATGCACCGATTTAAGGGGTGAGGGCCTGCCAATGTCAACACACAACATCTCAGCTGCGAAAACGGCCAGACCTTGTTGATCTCACCGATGATGCGGATGCCCAGGCCAGGGCCGGGGAACGGATGGCGCCTGGAAAACAAAACTGTGTTTTTCTCATTTTTTTGGGGGGGGATTGAGGGTTCAGAGTTGCGACCCTTTGTCACCTCATCTGAACATCGAGTCTGCTGACGCTTGCCCAAGATTGCCAGTCAGCCGTTGAGTTGTTACGGAACACTTGCTTTGGACGCTGACGTCTTCAGCAAGAATCAGCAAGAATCGAACATGCGCAGCATTTCTTCAAGAACCTCAGCCCGGAACCGAACTCGCCTTAACCTGGAAATCGCTCGCGTAGCTCAAGCTCCCAAACCTATATCAAAACCCAGGAACCTTTTAACGCTAGGGCCGATATGGTTTTGGACCTCATGGACCTCTTTCAACCCCAAGTCTCCTGCTGCTTTGTGCTGTCAAGCTGCCTCACAATAATCTCAAACCCGCCCCAAACCCGAATCAAAGCCTAAACCCTACGGCATAAACCCTAAACCCAGAACGCTCACCCCACCTGAACTCCCCTGGGTTCCCGGCATCACCGAGGTGACGGGAAGACCGAGCTCCCTCCCCAGCGCCTCAGATACGAAGTCCAAGGCCCATGGATCCGATGTTGGGATTACGTAAAGGTTCAGGGACTCAAGGCGCTATCTGCGGATTATGTCTTGAGCTTAGGGTGCAGGATTTAGCCTTCAACGGTCTTTAGTCAAGTCTAGAGCTTGGAATGTTGGTCTGGGGGCAGAGCTGTGTTGAGGTTCAGGGAGTTTTCGGTGGCGGATTGAAGGTCGAGACAACCGAGACAGCATTTGAGCAACATGTGTTTACATGGTTGAGGCAGCAAGTCGCACGTATGCCATGTGACAGGAAGTATTGAGCAGTCCCAGATGATTCGTCGAGATGAACCCTAACTCAAACAAAACTCACCCTAAATGCTGATCCTCTCCGGTCTCCTGATCGTGTGAGAGCCGGCTCGGAACCTGAAATTTCCTGGAGCACGCTACATGCTACATGCCCAAACTACTCTAAGTCCACTCAGGCAGGTGATCTTCGTGCAGTCAGAGCACGCGGACCTCATCCTTGAAGAGGAGCCGCAAAGGCCTTGGCTACATGCACTCCCCAAAAAGGATGCAAGCACTTATGATCTTTACGGGAGATCCACGATAGTTCAAAGTCTCCTAAAAGACCCATTTTCGGTCTGAGCATCTACTGCTCTATGGGTACATGGACCCTTTGGCCTCAGCCTTCTCTGGCGGCCGTCTGGCCGCAACTGAGAGCCTACAATCTCCCAGCACTTGTGAGCCCAGCACTGAACAAGCCACAAAACGTCTGGATTTAAGTGAAGACTCTTTTTGGCATAAATCTCTTCCCTGAAGCCTCCGGCGAGAACTAGGGTCTAGTCTAACCTGGTGATGCCTTTGGTGCTCCTACGGGTTGCCATGGTAGCCGATGAGCTCAATCACCTCCATCTTCATGCGGTCGGGCAGGCCGCCCACGTTGTGGTGGGTCTTGATGACCTCGCAGGGTTCAGAGAAACAGTCAAGCCAATTAAGGTATGTATAAATGCATGCTATGTGTGTGTGTATGTGCATAGTCTTGCATAGCTACGCAAATTTCCCCATACAGAAATTCCGCAGAAACGTCCACTCGCGAAGATCGAAGAGTTGCGTCCTGATGTCATCGTAGATGCCCAAAACTTGATTTTTGAGAACAAGCTCCCCGAGATGCGTTTTCACAGGCCCAAAACACTTGTCATCAGAAGGTGCATTCCACGTTCAATCCTGACGCTCACTGTTCTGCGTGCAAGAACAAGCAGCCGCAAACGCCCAAGACCTAAATAATTAAACCAAAAAATCAGCACGGCTGGTGCTGTGAAGCTGCGCTGGAGGGGCCCTTGTAGGAGGTGGACTCGATGACATCCGGGTACCTGGGTGTTGGGAGTCTGGACGCTAGAGGGTTTAGAACGTACAGACTGCTCACTGGCATGTAGGCACGAACCGCCCATCTGCTCAAGTTTGAGCTCGTCTTCTGCCCCGAAGCCCCAAAAGCCCAAAATCCTCAAGCCTAGCTGCGAACCCTACACCCCACCCCTAGACCTCGTAAAGCCGTAAAGCCAATGCAGGTCGGGGCGCAGTGTGCCCTGCAAGAGGAGGCAGTCCTCGTGAGGGAGTCCTTGGCGCTCAGACTTGGAACTTGAAAAAAATAGGGTGTGAGTGGGGCTTGCGGTATAGGATCTGGGATTTCAATTTAGAGTTTAGGGTTGAAGGATGAGGGTTGGGGGTTTGGGTTTGGGTGAAGGTTTAATTATGGCTTACTGAGTTCAAAGATCATGTGGGTTACCAGTTCATGAGAAACTTCTGAGAACTTTCATGGATCTGACTACTGCTATTTGCAACATTCCCGTAAACAATGGCTTTTCTTCTAGTCAGGAACATCTTATTGTTGAGGAGCCACATCTGAAGTTAGCTTCATCATGATAAGTCATGGGCAGCAGCAGCATGTGAGATGAGATTGCCGATGGGCCGACAGGAACACGAGCACCAACATAGCGTAAAATCGGTTTTTGCAGGGCCACTTTGCCTCCAGCAACCTAGGGAAACGGAATCGTCTGTTGTTGTCACAAGAGGTTATTCTACGGGAACCTAGAACTCGGTAGGCTCATTGCCCCTGCAATGAGGGATGGAGATTAGGGTTTAAGCTAAGGTGTAGCCCTGAAACCAAGAATGCTGTAAGACGCAGCAAAACACCCATAAGTCAAACCCCATAAACCCTAATTACGCAATCATATCACACCCTAAATAGAGCCCACAACCGCAATACCCCCATTGACCTTGAAACCCTAAAGCACATACTAACCTGCAATACACCCTGGACCTCATAGCCCTAAACCACAAAAACCCTAAACCCTAAAAACCCGAATAACTGCTAACCCTAAACCCTCAGCCCTAAACCCTAGTGCATCCAGAGTGGCCCATCTCAGAGACCGCCTTCTCGAAGGCCTCCACGAAGAGGCGGCCGATGATCTTCCTGTCCCGCAAGCTCTGGCTTTAGCTCTTGGGGCCGCTTAAGCTTTAGGTTCTTCATGTGTGTATTATTGTTCTTATTCTTCTTGTTCTTCTTGTTCTTCTTGTTTTTTCTTCTTCTTCTGCGCACTTTTCTCTCTCTCTCTCTCTCTCTCTCTCTTTCTCTCCGTCTGTTTCCCAGGCATCCGAAGCTGCCCCCGACTTCTGTCGTGTTGGCCAGGGTTCGAGTTCAGGGCTTGGGGGGTTAACAGGCCTCAGCTCCCAAAAACCTATGTAATGCAACTCTCTAACTCTGACGCCTGGGCTTTTGGGCTTTCATATCTCAGATAGTTTCGTGTTTTCGGGGGCGGGCCGTGCCTCTTCTTCTCAGGCTCCGTGACGCCCGCCAGCTCCTGGGCATGGAAGAGTGTTCGAGCGCCCTGGACCCTAAAGCCGCCACACATTCAGATCAACAAATGTACGGTTTAGTGTTTTCTAGGGTTTTTTTAAGGTTCATAGGGTTTACAGTGTACAGGGTTTATAGGGCTCTAGGGTCTCATAAGCCTCGTACAACCCCTCAAAGCCCAAACCCTACAACCGGAAAGGGCGCTAAGCCCTAGCCAAGGCCTTGTAGAAGTCGCCGGTGGCATCCAGCACCTGGCGCTCGCTTGTGCGAAAGATAGGGTTTGTGGGGGTTTATGGGGTTCATGGGTTTTTTGGCGTTTATAGGCTACAGGGTTTAAGGGGTTACGGTCTTCCAAGCCTCATGACCCCTCTCAAATCCAGTGTGGGGTTTCCGTGATGTGGTGGGGAGACAGAGTCGATAGTCGCGCGGGTCAAGCCCCTGACCCTTCAGCTCGAATCTCTCGGCAATCGCTCAACCTGAGCCCACCTAAACCCTAACCCTTGAAACCCAAACCCGAAGCCCTATAACCCTTGAAACCCAAAAACCCTATAGGCCCTGATATACTACACCAGCACCCTAATGCCCTCTGGTGCCTTCAGCTTCATGCCTGGGATGTGGCTCTCCAGGCGCTCCTTGACGATGCGGGCCTGGCGGGAGTGGCATGCTAGAGATGGGACAGCTCTGGTTTAGGACTAATTCAGGGCTTAGGGTTAAAGTTGCTTAGGGTCACTTAGGGTTTGTTGAGTGTTTAGGGTTAATTTGGTCTCTAACTGGCCCCCGTTCTCTGTCCCTTTGCTAGCGGTGCCTGTCACGATGTATACCTGGGCTATGCACAGTTTAACTTCCAGCGCTGGCCCTTTGGGCTTTAGGAGTTCGATACCTGAAGCTTGTCGGGTTTCGGGCTTGGAGTGCTTAGGGTTTAGGGGTTTAGGGTTTAGGGTTTGAGGGAAAAGATATTCGAGCTTCAAGGCTTCATGGGATCAATGGGGTTGAGAGCGCAACATGACAAGTCGGCAGGTCCCTGATCCATAAAAACCCGGAGCAACCTTAACATCTTCAAAATCCTGAGCTCTTAAGCTTGAAGGGTTCCAAGACGTCACAAACCCTTAAACCTAAACGACTTAGCACCCTTAAAGTCAGACCGCCCAAACTGGATTTGGGCTATACACATCTGCACCCTTCAGTTCTAACCCACCCCCCCCTCTCAAGCACTGCAGCCTCACCTCGTCTTTGCGCAGAAGCCCGGTGTCCACCATGAAAGGTCGGAAGCGATCTCCAATCCTGTTAGGGTTTAGGGTTTAGGGTTAAAGGTTCAGTTTAGGGCTTAAAACCCTGAATTCTCCAACTGCTGTAAGTCAAGGGGCGCTTTGTGGACCAAGGCGGCTGCGACGCTGGAGTCCACTCCGCCGCTGACAGCGCCCACCACGTACTTGCCGTGGAGCTTGCTCATGATGATGTCCTTGAGTATAGGGGTTGAGGTAGGGGTTGTTGAGGGTTTTAGGCTTTCAGGCTCATGATGATGTCCTTGAGTAGGGGTTGAGGGCTTTAGGCTTTCAGGGTTTTTAGGATTTAGGGATTTTGGGTTTTAGGGTTTACAGTAGGATTTAGAGGCAGGGTTGCAGGCATGGTGTGGGACTTGGTAGGCTTCAGGGTGCAATAGCCCGAGGGACATCGTGCTGGGCACTCGAGTAGATCTTCCTCATCGATGCCGAGGCCCAAGAAAACGGGCCGGGCTCGGGCGCCGAAGGTCAGGTCTTTTGGAAAGCTACAAAATCTGTTTATCCCTGACTCCCAGTACTTCAGCTTTGGGTTCTTAGGGACCCTAGTTAGTGCATCGTTCCCGTGAAGGGCAAACCACTGTGAGCAAGTCCTGAAAGCCTGAAAGGAACATGGAACGTCTACGCCTAAATGCCAATGCTCACCCTTCAGGCTCCGCTGACATTGGACTAGTCCCATTGCACACACACACACAAAATGCATGTCAAAACCTCGTGAGAGTGGAACAAAAAAGGTTCTTGTAGCACTACCATGTTTATGCCAAAACCCTGCAACCCTAAACCCTACGTGGGGCAGAGCATGCTGCCCGGCGTCGATCTGCTTTTGGCAGAAGTCGTGCATGTTCCACTCGCCCTTGCCTGGGCGCACTCTCGCTGCTGCAGGCGTGCGGCATCCGTGCACCTAATACTCTAAACTGCTTTAGGGTTTAGGGTTTAGGGCTTAGGGTTTAGGGTTTAGGGTTTAGGGCAAATCCCCACAGACTTAGACCCGAAACCCTGCCCCCTAAGCCCCCTGCAACCGAAAGTGGCTGGCTCCAGCATTCTAAGCATTCAATCTCCACCTGATGGTTTTGGGATTTTGCTCTAACAGCTACAAGGTGGGGTCATATAGGGGAATTGCGTTTTGGAGATTTTAGCATAATTATATTCAGGGACTATAAGAGAATACTTTAATTCGTGGGCTTAGGGTTCCGGCTGCTTCAGTGATTCAGGGTGCTGCAAGAACCCTAGCAGAACTACCTAAACCCCAAACCCTAGTGGGATTTCCATGGTAGCCTGGTTGCAGCCAACCACCTTCAGCACAAAGTTCTTAATCATGGTCGCGCCATTCGGGGTGTGCGTCACCTGCGTGCAGGGAATAGGGCATAGGGTTGCAAGATGTGGTGCTTACCCGTACCAGGGTCCATCACTAGGAGGAGCTTGAGACTGCCTGCTGTTTCCTGCAATGGGTTTTGCATGTTGCCTGCGCGCACACGTTGTGAGGATTGAATTGTCCCCCTTGCTCCAACATGCGCGTCGGCATGGCTGTCTTAGATTGAATTTGGGCTCGGCTGCGCCTCGCTCGTCTAAGAATTTCGGGGTCCTCTAACCGAACACTCAACCCAAACCCGTCAACCCATACACCTGCTCGCACAGCAGCTCGACAAACCAAGGACCAAACCGCCGAACATCCGGCTACCTCCACGTCAACCTGCAATCCTAACATCCGAAACATCCCTAAGCCCTAAGCCCTTGACCCTAAACGGCCCCAGACACCTCTGGGTGGTATTGGACGCCGTAGAAATGCCGCACCTGCACTGTCTGCACACGTGAAAGTTCTCATACCTTCTAGTTGCTTAAGAACCCCCAAAGAATAAAACATAATAATCCCAGCATAATTATACCTATATTCCCCTTAATGAGGAAGAATATTTCTACTTTCTCAAACTTCTTAAGCAATTAGTAGATACTTGGAGCATTGTGGGACTGAGTCAGTAGCTTACAAGGTCTGGGGGTTGCAAGTTGGATAACACCAAACTATGGTGCTGTTTAGGGTACTTATATAAATGTAAGCAGGAGAACCCAACTCGGGCCCTTTCTGGGGGGCGTTTATTACCCTGAACCGAAGAGCTACTGACTAAGTACCCCGATCCTAAAACAGCGCCTCACAAAAGAACCCCCAAGGGGCTATGAAGAAACGACTAGGCTAACCCCCAAAACCCTGTTCGAACTAGTAAGGCCCCTATTGAGCTCATCCCACGGGGCTATGACCAGTCAACCCGAAACCCACGTCGCCAGCGTGGAAATCTGAACTCAAGACAGAAAGGCACAACCCCAAAGCCTAAAGCCTAAACCCTAACCCCCACCCCACCCCACCCCCACCCCCGCAAAAAAAAAAAAGCAGGTGTGTATACAGATATATTTATATATAAGTATGAATGTAAATATACATGTTATAAATAATGATCACCAACGCAGGTCCAGCTCCCAAGAAACATCAACACTTGATGCAGGTTTAGGGTAATATGAAGGTTTTGGTGACCAACGATTTTGGTGGGTGTGAAAAAAGGGTGTCGGGTTTAGGGTTTCAGGTTTAGGAGTAGACAAAACCACTGGATAAGGGCTTAGGGGTGTACCCGAAACGCACCACCTGATCTTCGATGGCCGCGTACTCGGTGTTCGAGGTGTAGGCGATGGAGGCAAAGCCAGGGGGTATCCTTGGTGCCCATCGATTCGGGCCCAAGGTTTTGAGCTACTTGAGCCTAAAGGTTACGCAAGCCCCCTAAACCCTAAACCTGCACCCTAAACCTCAACCCTAAACCATAAACCTAAACCCTAAACCCTAAACCCTGAACCCTCAATCCTAAACCCTAAGCAAACACAAGCCCACAGCTCCCAGAAGCACACAAAAGCAAGCCCCTCCACCCGTGCGGCGTGTGCTCTGCAGCACTAGACCCTGTAACTTGAACTCAAAAGCAGAAACGTTGCAATTACAGGGTTGATAAGGGAGGGCGGTTCAAGGGCAGCATTACGTATCCCAAGGTTCCCTACACCCTACGGCTCGCCAACCTTCCCTGAGGTTCCCCAGGTACCTACCGCCCATGAACCCCCTCCCTTAAGAGCCCTATAATGACAAGGCATAGCGCTTAGGCTTGAATGTGGGTGCCCGATGGCTTCAGATTTCTGCGGGGTGTAGGGTCCAACGCAACCCTACACCCCTAAACCCCGAACCCTCAACCCCATTCCCCTAAACACTAAGCCCAAAAACCTAGACCCTAAACTCCCTAAATTCCGCAAAGCTCCCTAAACATCCCCTAAACCCTAAACCCTAAACCCTAAGCCCTATAAACCCCAACTCTAAACCACTCTTTGCTCCCCCAAGGGGCTGGGTAACCTTGTCCCCGTGGCTCATCCACACGGGAACCTTCTGCCCGGTGATGCCCTCGAAGATGGGACTGCGGCCTGGCGTGGGAGAGTCCCTAGAGGGTTTAAGGTTTCGGGTTTGGGGTTTAGGGTTTGGGGGTTGAGATTTGGGGTTTGGGGTTTGAGATTTAGGGCTTGAGGTTTGGGATTTTGGGCTTGGAGTTGGGGCTTATAGGGTTCAAAAAACAAAAACCTCGCACTTGGCGCGGCCTTTGGTCTTCTTCGCGCCGTTTTGGCTTTGCAGCGCCACATCTTCGCCTCAGCTTCAGACCCTCTTTGGCTACAGTTTTATATGGGTGACACGTACTAAATAAGGGTAGTTGCTACTAAACCGTGTGTAAATAGTGTCCCAGGTAGGCCGAACAAGGGACTATTACGGGTTTTCAAGGGCTGCGGATGCTGATTCGGTCCGGGTAGCTGCTTCGGGTTTAGGATTCCGGCGCTGAGGCTGAGAAAGAAGGTTGTTCAGGGGGGTTAGGGTATAGGGATTTGCCTAAGCCTGCCAACTACCTTACAAACTTTAGTACAAGATATACGGCAAACTCGGCAGCTTAGCACATCAGCCTGCCTGGGTGCATTTGCTTGTGGTGGTTTTGTGCATTTGATTTAGGGGCTTAGGGTTTTGGGTTTAAGGTGAATGTTCAGCCAGTTCTGAACTTCGTAAAACCTAGGCTAACTTTACAAAATGATTCGGCTGAGGGTGCAAAGTTCAAACAGTCAACAACAAAGTCAGACCACCCTGGCTAGCCATATATCCTCGACCACAATACCCTCAATCCTAATCGCTTAAACTCTAAACGCGAATACCCTTTTAAAGCCTTAAAGCCCTGTATTGAGAACCGGGGCACGAATGAGAAGGTCAGCGTGTCCGAACTCACGCTTGACGCCCGCCTCCACTTTGCCCCCGAGCGAGTGGCACATCTCCTGACTTGGCAACAGCAAAGAGTCATTGTTCGTTCAAGTGTCACTGTCTTAGATTAAGTAGAAGAAACAGTGTTGCTGACTGCCGTTTGAATGCTTGTTGCTGAATTACCGTGTCGTGCAAAGCTCCACTGACCTATGGGGTTCAAGCTACCAAGTTTAATCCAACGTACTGACTGTGAACACACGAAGCATTCGCAGGTAGCCCACAGCTGTAGAGGTTTGCCACACAAGTCATTGCCCAACTCCTGCAAGCCATAGCAGATGCCGAAGACAGGCAGCTTCTTCTCGTCGATGTAGCCCCAGATGTCCTGCGCATGTGCGCGGACCGATGCGCCAAGCCTTGGAAAAAAAAAACAACGCAACTGTTTTGGTTGGTAGGGTATTGGGGCGTTCTGCTATGTGTGGGCCGATCTCCCCAGGCGCCAAAGGTTCTGATTGGTTCGGTGCCCGTGCTGGGAACATGGACAGGGCTACGACCCTGAAAATGAGACCTCTGCCTATCGTGCACCCATCCGCAAAGGAGTTTGGAATCCGCAGTATCTACCATGGCTGATTATATTCCGGCAACCAACCCGGACCTACGCGCCCATACGACAAAGACGTGCCCAAAAGGACGCTACGCAAACCTATGCCCTGCAGTCAAAAATGCTACGCGGTCGACTTCCAAGAATCGCGTCTCTTTGTATGCTCTTTGTGCTCTTTCAAACAGAAAAAACAGAAGCTGCCAGCTGCTCAGGTAGACTTCATGCAGGCGAAGGCCCTGATACCTTCTTCTCTCCCACTCTCAGATGTGTAGATTTACATTATATTATATTATATCACATTATATTGTATTATATTATATACATATGTATTTATTTTTGTGTTTATATATATGTGTATATATATATATGTATTATATTTATATTTATATTGAAATATATATATATATATATTTATATCTATATTTGTATTTATATTTATGTTTATATTTATGTATGCATATACAGATCCGTTGCCAGAATCCTGGCTAAATCCAAAGGCCGGCAGCCCTTGCTGCTATCCTACCCCAAAAAAAACGCCTCTCCCGCGGTCCTTGCACAGGTGGGGGGCATCCTTGTCGTACACCGAGTGGGGGCCACCGCTGAGGATGATGCCATTGGGGTTGAAATTCTTGACATCCTGGCTCAAATTAGGGGGGGATGTTTTCCCTAAACCCTAAACAATAAAACCTCAACCCTAAACCCTAACATGGCTTACATAAGAAGGAGAAAGACCTCAAACGCCTTCCCCAACCTGAACTCTAAAACCCCAAACGAATCACCTTCGACAGCCTGGTATCATGTAGGTGCTCCCAAACCCTAAGCCCTAAACACTAAACCCGCGGTGTTTGACACTTCCGTGGGGCGTTCGGAGAATCAGCTCAGCTTCCGCGCTTCCGATGTTTAAAAACTCAAAATGTTGGGGTTGAGGGCCCCCCCTTAACTCCCCCACACCTCTCAAGACAGCCCCTGGACCGTCCGTGCAGGACTATGGGTTGCAGCCTTCAGGACGCCAGGGCCCTAAAACCTACAACCCTATAAACCCTTTTACTTCTAAAAGCCCTATAAACCCTACAAACCCCATGCGCCCTATAAACCCTACATACTCTGTAAACCCCTTCACCCCTAAACCCTGAGGGTCCTCGAGCTTGAGCAGGCAAGATCGGAGCTCGCAGTACACGCCGGCTTCGCGCACGCGGCGGCAGATCAAGTGGGACACCTGCTCTGGAGTTCTAGACCCAGGAGTAACCTAGGAATAAAAAGGGTGCCCTAAAAGGAAAAAAGGGCCTAATCCGGGTCCTAGAGTTCTGGGTTTGAGGGTTGATACATCACAGAGATTCCTCTACTGTAGGGCGAGGGTTTGAGGGTTGAGGGTTTAAAGGCCTTATGGGGCTTGCATAGGTTTATTGGGGCTGAAGGGTGTTATCAGAGGTTGCCCTAGTACCTCCCTGTATACTACCCCCCTAGGTTCCCCCCACAAAGTAAGGCCTTTTAGCTTGGCTGCACTTAGCAGGGTAGCGATAAATTTACTTGTTAGCTGCCTCGTTAAGAAACCCAATAAACCCAAAAAGGTTAAGGATCTAAAGTTACAGTAAAGCACCACAGAGTTACGGATAATGAAGCCTAATTCAGGTCATCTAAGGGGGGAACCTAGAGGGGTAGTACAGAGGGCGGTAGTAAGGAAACCCATGAGTTTTAGGGGTTATGAATCGTGGGCTTTAGGGGTTTTAGAGTTGAGGGCTTCGGGCCTGTGCTTTAGGGCATTTTTCGTTCGGAGCAAAGGGTCACCTTCCGACTGCCTTTAGGATGCAAAATCCTAAACCCTCCCCAAAGCCCTAGAGCCTAACCCGAACCCTAACCCCAAACCCTAAACCCTTTCGGTTTCCAGGGCCAACGCCGACATCGGGACCCGAGATGGATATTACACCGGGAAACTCCGTGTTTCTTCAGGACCTCGCGAACCCTACACAAAACTTGATGTGGTCGCCCCAGAGATTGCATGGGGTCGGTTGCAGCTGGGTGCCGAAAAGTTCTGGTTGTAGGGCTCAGGTTGTGACACAGAGCAGACCGCCATTCTGAGAGCGGCCTGAGAACCGAAGTCAATGACGAGGATGCGCTCTTGTTTCTCCATGCCAGCCATCATGTCGACCTCAGTACCAAGCGCTAAGCCCCAAGCCTAGAGTGACTACTGCTTTTGTACTATGATCACTACTCATATGGAACAATTTCACTGTGGGACTTACCTGCACTTCTGCGCTGACACTACGGCTCTGCATCTTCTTACATCGAAGCTCTCGTGTGGCACTGTTGCCAAGCCTCCTAAGCCATATAACCCAAAACTTCTCAACTCGAAGCCCTATACACGCTAAAACCTACCTCGAGAACCCCCGACCCACTACCGTAACCTCCCCTTACCAGCATGGGCCATTATACCCTATAACGCCTCAACAAGGCCCTTTATAGGGTTGGTTATGGGGATCATCGGGCCTAAAAGCCCATCCTGGTATGGACCCCTGCCACGCCCCGAGGATGAACCGCAGCCCAGGCCACTGCGGGCTTTGCGCTGTTGGCGCCGTTCGACATGGCAGGAAATGCGGCAAAGGAGCGGTGCTTGGGGGGAGCTGTTGGTGGGCCTAAATGGCTGAGAAAGATCTGCTTGTGCCGGGCCTGTTCTTACTCGTTCTCGCAAGGGAGTCTGCCCTGTGTCCCCCGCTGTATACACTTTGAGGCTCTTTGAGGGACTACATGGGGCACCGAAATCCCAACTCAAATTAGGTTCAACATATCTCTCTCTCTGTGTCCTGACTATGCATCTCAGGTTGAATGTTTCGGTAGCCTTTGGTTCCTCTAGTGCGCCCTAAACCCTAAACCCTAAACCCTAAACCCTAAACCCTAAACCCTAAAACCTGAACCTCAAACCCTAAACCCCAGACCCTCGAGTCGAGGCCGCCTCCCCAGAGCTGCGCGACAGCTCCGACGACCTGCGTAGGCTGAGGGCTCTGGAGGGTATAGGGTTTAGGGTTTAGGGTTTAGGCTTCAGGGTTCTGGTGTTTAGCTATGTAGGGATTTTTGGGGAGTTGTTCAGGGATTTAGGGTTTCGGAGCTCGGGTTTTTTTTTGGGGGGGTGCTTTGGGGTTTTGGGGTTTAGGGCCTTTAGGGTTTTGGGGTTCTGGGCAATTTGGTGTGTTTGGGGGCTTCGGGCTTTGTGGGTATTGGGGTTCTGGGTGGGGTTTAGGGTTTTAAGGTTTAGGGCTGAGGGTTTCTCAGCCCTAAGGCTAAAAGGAGACTGCGCCCTGAGTTAGGGTTCCTGAATTTGGGGCGCCTCAGAGTAACCAGACCCAAGAGTAACCTAGGAATCCGAAGGGTGCCTTTTTTGGATTAAAGGGGATTACAAGGGAACCTGAGCCCTGAAAAAGGTGAATAGGGGCCTGCTCTGGGGTCCTAGGTAAGGAGTTTGTTTAGGACGCCCAAACGGGAACCATCATTTAGAGAGCGGCCCATCTTCGGCGTTTAGGGTTTAGGGTTTAGGGTTTAGGGTTTAGGGTTTAGGGTTTAGGGTTTAGGGTTTAGGGTTTGGGGTTTGGGGTTTAGGGTTTAGGGTTTAGGGTTTAGGGTTTAGGGTTTAGGGTTTAGGGTTTAGGGCCCCAAAATTTGCGGTTGAGGTAACAGGGGCCTCAGGGACCCTGACCTGAACTGGGAGCCCTCCTCACAGCCGAGGTGGGCCAAAACTGCTAAGCTGCTAAACCCTATATGCCCAAAACATGCAACACCCAGAGCCCTGCAATCCTCAACCTTTATGCTCCCTAAACCCTCAGCCTTCTAAACTCTAAACCCTAAACCCTAAACGCTAACCCGTAAACCCTAAACCCTAAACCCTAAACGCTAACCCTAAAACCTTAACGCGAACCCTGGTGTGGCAGGCCTGAATTTCCCCACCAAGGTCCACCCCGGTGCGCAGAGAAGGCTCATGTGCAACACGAGGCGCCAAACATCAACGAAGAGGCCTGGGGGCAGGGAGGGTTTAGGGTTTAGGGTTTAGGGTTTGGGGTTTGGGGTTTAGGGTATAGGGTTTAGGGTTTAGGGTTTAGGGTGTAGGGTTAAGAGTCCCAAAAAAAGGAGGGAACAGGGCAATTTGCTCCAGATTCTAAGCCAAAAAATGCGAGTTCAGGTAGCCCGGGTTTTGTTGCGCTTGAGCGCCTGAGGGTTCAGCATTCAGGGTTTAGGGTACGGGGGGACAACCAAGGAAGGAAATCAACTCCCCTAATCGCCCTGAACTTATATTTCCCAGATCGAACCAAGAAACAACCAAGAACACGGATAAGAGCAACAAGGAAGGGGCACCCTTACACAAGTAGAGGGGCACTAACCCAACCCTCACTCCCAAACACGGACTTTTTTCTTTGGACGGGCTGGCCATCCTTGAGCCAAACATAGTTTACGGGTTCATTAACCCTTTCAACTTCCAACACTAACTCC